TTTTAATTAACAACTTTTTTAAAATAAGTTATTGAAAAATCTCTAGAATGGTTATATAGATGGGAAGCATTCCGATTACAGATTGGAAGCAGTAATCAAAAGGGATTTTTGAGCCACCAGACACCAAGCAGTACGCTTGACACCGACTAGTATCTAAGCACTCATCAAACAATTGCTTCCAATCTGTAATCTTTAAAAAATCTTCTTCAGAGTCATAATGTAAATGACGGGAGTGATCCCAATCAGAATTGTGACATCACCTCATAGTATAAAGTCTGAACCTCAAGTGAAGATATCCGAGGTGAGCTTCTGTTAGAAATAAGCATGGTGAGCTTTGTAGCAGTGAACGACAAGAGGTGTCCAATAGCGATAAAGTAGTTCCAAGGCGATTTGAAGTTATTCGATTTGTGGAGTGAAGATCAAAAAGTCTTGAAAGTTGAGGAAAAAGGTTCCTAATATACTGAGGTGACGATTAGGACCTTAGTTCATAAGAATTGTTGTGCATAAGTTAAGTCTTTGAATTTTTTGTAGAGTTCCAAAGGGGAATAGATTTAAGTTAGCAAATAGATTGATTTGAGTTTTTGGTCGGGTTGATTTCTTATTGATTTTCTTTGAATAAATTTGTTGTTTGATTGTTACTAATTTTTGTACATAGTCATTATTAGAATTATTAAATATTGGATTGGTTTTGACTAACTTTGTCATTATTTCTTTCAGTGCACGCTTAAAGTCCAGGCCAGGCACACTAATGCGAATCATTGTAAAGTACCCGTTAGGTAACGACTATTTCCGGCACAAAATCGTGTCGCTAATCGTTGTAAAAGGCGTAAAAATAACAAAGTACTTTACAACAAAAAACCATTTAAGGAAGTTCAAGAACAATTAGAACAACATTTAAAAAATTTGCTTTGTAATCCAAGCCTGTCCTATGGAGATCCTATTAATAGTGAATTATTAGATCATGATTATTGTGCACCAGAAACATTTAAGTTTATCCTACATTATTTAGGAGGTTACAATGTTTATCATCTACTGCCATCACTTGGTTGTGATGAATGCAAAAATATATTAACAGCAAAACCTGAAGATGCCGCACCAGAGAAGACATTTACATTAATCAAATCTCGAGGAGGTTTCTTATATCGAAGCTATAAGCTTTGCCAATTGATGTACTGGGTATAAAGCAAAGTACGTGAAAAATTAACAAACCCAAACATTTGTCTCTAGTTGATTTTAGCAACTAGCAAAGATATGTAGTTGAAAGACCAGTTAATCTACCAATTATGGCTATAGTAACTGGTTTAGCACACTATGTTATTCTACCTCAATATTACCAGTTTGCATATGATACATAAGACACTGCCATATTGATATAATAGACTATTGAATTTTTATGGTAGCCACCTATGTACACTAAGCCTCTAAGTTATCAATGAAGCAGGTGACCCACATTCAGAAATGTCTTGTATATAATCTAAAATCCTGACTCAACAATAATTGTCACAAGCATAAAACTATTTGAAATTATAAAATTAACTATGCTGATATTTCTGTCAACAAAATAAAATTGACATCTGAACATTATTGTACTTTAAAAATAACTACAGTTAAACTTTAACATAGTGCTCTTTTAAACAGCATCTCGTTCAAAATGCCAACAAATACAGTAGAGCATTGATTATCCAAAGCAATTCGGGACTGGGGTTGTTCGGATAACTGATCATGTATGAAAAAATATATTAACCTATCCCCTGTTGAAAGTTTTCTCCATTGCTTGTCGCTTCGCGTTGGATTTTTGTCAATGTTATGCCTAACAAAAATTTTTTAAAATAATAATCATGGCTATTGTATTGTTAAAAATTATTTCTTTATTTTGCACAAACAAAATAAAAATATTGAAAAATATAAAAACAAAAAAATTACATTTCGGAAGTTAATCTAGTATCAAAAACGTTCCGATTCAGCATGACACACATCCCGACAACACAGTCCTCAGAAAAACACAACAGAAAACTAGCAAAACTCTTTCTTTTTCTTGAGTTTATCTGGATATGTCAGCCGCTTGAGCTATATTCTCTGATGAGCTGAAGCAAAACACACCACTCATGATGCAAGGTCCTAGAATATAGCTCATGATGGGAAGAAAAAGCCTCATTCAAGTACTGGTGCATCCTTAAGTACCCTCTCGACGTGTATGAATCGAAACATTTTTCACACTAGATTAACTTCCGAAATATAACTTTTTTGGTTTTTATATTTTTTCAATAATATTTTTTATAATAATAATAAGAAATGATTTTTAACAATACAATATGGTCGCACCAGTGCTGCCAGCTAAAACACGCACACCAACAAAAATAATATTGGAGTAACCCAAGACATAGTCAAATACTGCACTAGTGAAAATTTGAATTTGCCAATTGGAGCGCTTTTGGTTAACCAATGTTTCAGTTGATAGGTATTCGGATAATCGATGCTCTATTGTACTTATAAACAAAATGTTAAACACAGAATTGTTCTGTACCTGCAAATTACTAAATCTATTGTAGATAACATTTCTATCACAAAATCACTAGTTTCAAATTCTCGAACTTGTTTGTAGACTCAGTTCTTCAGTTAAATACTACATTCAAATTTAGTATCAATTTCAAAGATGAGTATGTGGTAGTGTTAAATCAAGTTATGCTTGTAATGGTCAAAGTATAGAAAAGAATAAACTGTCATTGTAATTGTCTGGACAGATTTGAACTGATATCGCAGTTACATATTATCATAATACAGGGATCCGAAAAGTTACTGTGCAGTGAGAAATTTGTAATGGCAATGAAGTTATATGTAGGGGTATTGCACACAAAACCTATAAGTTGTCCATAAGCTGATCAGTTATGCCTACAGTATTGCATACAACTTATTATTTGGTACTATAATTCATCATTTTAAATTAGTTTCATTATTCCAGGAAAAGTTTAAGTCACAAGTAAAAATTGAAAGTAAGTTGTAAAGTACTAAACAAACTAAATTATGGTTGCTATTTTCACCCAGAACATGCAAACCTGCCAAAAGCAGATTTCTCTCTGCATGACTTACAAATGAGACATGTTACATATCTGCTTAACAGATGGATGTTGATGTCTTTCTTCAGGAAAAGATAACAAAAAACGGTAATGCATAAAATTACTTTTGCATTTACTAAAACACACAGAAAATGTATCATTTGAAAACAGAAAAATAATCACTTTTCACAAGCTTAAAGATGGTCCATTAAGCAATTGAAAGTGTCCACAATTAAACATTTTGTTCAAACCAAATTAACAAAATGTTCTTTCCTCCTTTCAAGCTATGATTTGTGCTTTTTAGAGTTATATTACAATTCTATGTTTGCCACAATCAAATAGTAAATAATGATTAATTTATAAATGTAAAACACTAACATTAAAGCTATACAGATCACAATTTTATTCATCAGACAGGTCAACAGCAATGGACTCAAACAGCATGAAAAAGGTGAATAATGCCTCATCTACTAGCAATAATGATTGATCCAAAGTACACATTTACATTGATTAATGAGAACACAAAATAGTCATATCTAAATATTTTTCCTCCATTTCCTTAATGGTTCATTTCAAATAATCAAATCATTTTGTCTTTTCAATAAATTATAGATATATTCCAGACACAACAACAGAAATTATCCTCCATCAATTAAATTTATTTTAAGTAATATAAGTTTAATACAAGAAAATTCTTTGAACAAATATTATGAAAGTGGAAATATAAGAATAGTTTGTACTTAAACTGGGAAATGATTTGTCATCTTTTGATTCCTTCCTACTAATAAGTTATAATTAACTAACTAAATAAGTTTTAAATATCAAACAAATAGGTATATTTTTTTTTATCAGGCTATAAGGTTAAATGATTACTATGAAATTTAGCAGAGTCAAGCTGCTAGGCTATCATTTCTTGTTAAATATAAATTATAAATAGATAATTTTAGAATAGTGCCACCTGCTGAACTGATTAGTAACTTTTTAGCCTTATAGATGGAAAAAGAATTTGCCATTCATTTGGTAGTTAAAATAATCATCAGGTTAGGGGCTGTCCATAAATTACATCCACATTTTTCTTGAAATTTTTACTTCCCGCTCTTGTTCCAGTTTCTGTAACCTGCTTCTCTCTTTGGACATCCAACAAAATCTGATCTCCCCCTTAAACCATTATTACTGGTTCTCCTGACATAGGAGAACTGGTTGCATCAACCATAGAAATATAGAGATGCAGACATATTAGCTACCGCGTGGTGGTCTTTTTACAAAGATTAATGTTATTACGAGACATTGTTTGTTTACTTTTATTTTATTAAGTGACACTTTCATCTTATTTATATTATTTCTGCATTTATTTATTATACTTTCCACATGCACATGTTCATTTATTTATGTATTTATTTCAAGTCTCATTTCATATTTACGTTCTACTGAATGTTAGTGTTCTATTTTGAGTTAACTGAAAAACATCAGTTAAAATGATCGAAAACATTTTGAATTTAGTAAATTTTGTTTGCTGGATTGTTAAATATGTGTTTTTATAATATTAAACCATCATCACTTTATGAATAACACATAAACTGTACAAATTTTAATGAAATAATATGATGTCTGCTGAAGCCAACCCCCTTGTCCGAGCTATCTTAACCCCTTCCATAGAGTGTGGATGTCATTTATGGACAGCCACTTAGACAAATTTATTATATAAATAAGTTTTATATTTAATAATGGATAAATGTTTAAAAATCTCTTAAAATCGTTTTCCTCTAAATCAGAGATTAAAAAAAAAATTAAACGGCATAATTTCAGAAACAAAATGTTTCCAAATAGACAAACTGTAGATAGACAATAAAAAATTTACTCCATTAATAAATATTAAGTATTTTTGTATGTGTATACATGTAGAAGTTTAGGATAAAAAAGGAAAACATTCTGAATATAATCACTTACCCTTCACAAGTTCTGCAGATAACATTCTTGCTGAGTTGTAGTTTAGCAGTCTTTCCATTATACATGTCCTCTAAAGAGACCCTAAAGTATTTAAATTTCTTAAAATGGAACAGTGTACTTTGTAACCTGTAAAAAATCTAACGAAGTTATTCATTCTTACTTTAATGGATGTATGGTGTCTTCGCCACGTTGCTTTCTTCTTCGACCCGAACCCATTCCCATTCCGCCAAACAGACCACCTCCGAAGATGTGGGAAAAGAGATCCTCGGCTCCAAATCCTGAAATAAAACAAAAAATGTATTAATAAATTAAAACATTTAAAATTGAGTGCAATTAGCAGGTTTGTATAAATTGTATCTAGTTGTCTAAAAAGTTAACTTTCCAAAATTTCAATCAAATTTTTTATGCTTTAACTGTTCAAGCAAATGCATTCAATTGAAAGTAAACTTGTCACAATATTGACTGATCTCTAAACATCCAGTGACTCACAAAACCAATAGTCAAAGTTTCTGGTAAAACACCTGTATGTGTTTCATCTTACCATAGTGATATCAATTCTGTGGTGATGAAACACAAATAACAAGATTGGAGAAGCAAGGACTTATATTGCAGCAACGTGGAATGGCAAGATCCTTCCTAAACTTAAGTGACATGAATTAATAAACAGCACTTTAACAAGATATTATGCTTTATTAGAATGATTTGTCTAAATATTTAAATATCGTAATACTTTTAAATGCTGCTTATTAAACCAGATACATTTATGAAAAACTGGGTATTTTCTAACATGTAAAATTCCAGCTATAAGTATATTGCAAGTAATAAATGTTGAATTACTCACTCTACTGCCTTCCATGGAAAAAGCACAGCTATGTTTGTATCTTATACTTTATTTATGAATTTTGTACAATGGTATAAATTGTGCACATCATGTATATAATAATTTAAATGGCAAGTAATGACTGTAATGATAATCTTCCAGCCAACTTATTGTGGATCTTCCAAAGTATATCACTGCCAATCTGGCAAAACAAAATATGAACACCATGATTTCTTAAAAGAGTATATTTTTAAACATTCATTAATATAACTATCAGCACTAATGTTTCCTTCTGTCAAAAATGACAAACTTTTCAATCCACATTGGAAATTGGGATATTTTGAGCTAAACTTTTTGACACTGATTGATGTTTAAAATTCTGGAAGAACATCTCCTTCAAACATTCTATAACAGAATATGCCTCGAAGTGTTGAGAAGTCAGCTGTCAAGTATGTTTCGTCATCTAAAACTAAACAAGCATTCTTCTTGCTAATTAATGAATATAACTTTTAAGCTTGAGATTTAATTACCTTGTTTTGTTTTTCAGTCACTTAGGTAATTTTTATTTTTACATAACTTCATACTTGCATGTTATTTAGCCCTCTGAACCATTGATTAGTTTCACATTTGTTTGCAGCATCTCTTAGTGACATAATCAAAGTCACTTTCAAAAAATTGCAGCATTCTGGTCGAATTTTGAACAGAAAGAACCATATTTTCCATCGAAACCTGGCTGAGTAATGGACACTGTCTTATAATACCTATTTAACACTTTAGTTCATCATACTTCAGAAATTTGTAGCTGTTTTGGTACAAAACATCTTGGGTTTTTCCAGCCATTTGTCAACAACTGATTCGTGACGGTCTATTTGTTGTTTAAAGCCACAGCACAGTTACTTTAATAAAACCAATAACGAAATTCTTACTTATTTGAAATTGTTGCTATGGCAACAAACAGAATTATAAATAACAAACAAAACAATTGACATCTGAATTTAACAGAATTCTATTGTTACAGTCCTCAAATACACAGAAAAGAGTGTATAAAGTAGTAAACTGTCACAAGTTATAAACAAGAAACATGGTGATCTATTTGAGTATCTCACAAATCAGTAATAAACAAATTATATATATATATAATTTTTTTTTGTTAATTTTCTGTCCGATGGTGAGATTATTATTAATCTCACCATCGGACAGAGATTATTATTAATCTCATCGGTGAGATTATTATTAATCTCACCATCAGACGGAGCAGCTTCAAAACATCTACATATTCCAGTGCCTCTTTTAGTAGATATAAAGCAGAACCACCCCAATGGCCAGATGGATGAACAGTAAGATGTCTGTGTCACCGATTCCTTTTAATTGGATGTTTGTGTTTTTAAATGGCTTTGTTTTTTATCTCTGGCAGCATGAAGCCTAAAAAGGAAGGCCTGTTGCCATAGATGTGTATGTGTAAAGTCTGGAATACAAAATAAATGGTGGTCCCTTTTGGACAGACTTGTCTTCGATGATTAACAAATTATATTTGTACATAAATATATGATAAGTTTCAAATTAACAATGAACAACAAGATCAAAATATCTCTCTCTACTCACTAATAACAGACATTCCAAAGAAAATAGCAATTTCAAAATCTATCAAAGGCTAAGACAATCTTAGGATTGAGAAATTTTTTTTTGAAGTATTTGTTTATAGAAGCTTTGCCTACATATATTTATAATGTATATGCAAATTGAGTGTTTATGCTCAAATTATATGAGTAGCAACATGATAAACATGTTCTCTAGGACTGGTATTTATGAAGTAACACTTACTATAAGACACAAAAACCACATTAGCAAATATATTAGTTACACTTACTGCAATCTCCTCACAGGGCTCAAATAGGAACATCTTGATACCACATCAATACTTTTCTTTCATACAGAATACTTTTTGTACTCAATACTTTTGGTCCGATACTGATATTGATACTTCAGTTTGGGTATCAGATCTGGTATTGCTAATTTTTCACAGATAGACAAGGTCCAACAGAAACCAATTTTGCTGTTGAATCCAAATCTTACACAATTTCAGTTAAATTAAACTTTTATAGTAAATATTAATGACCAAAAATTAATAAATTTATTACATCAAATTTCTTTTTCAGAATCTAATATGATTAATGTTCAGATTACTGTTTATAAATAAGTATTTAGTGGTAATTTTGCCAAGATTCAATTCTCTGTGGCCTACTCAGCCTTCATTGTATTCATGAGTACAATACCTTCTCAGCAGTAACAATAGCTGGAAGGAGATGCCATAGACTGAACAGTGACAGCTGGCAAAATTTCCATTTTCATTATCCAACGCCAATATGATCAGTATCGATACTTAGACTTATACCAATACTTTAAAAATACTCATCATATCGGTATCAATACTTCTGTTGTATCAGGACATTCCTAGGCTGAAAGAACATCAAAATGATGTACATATAGCAAAAAGCATGACATTAGCAATCATGGACAATTCATCTTAACACAAATGATATTTTAAATGCACAGATTCTATCCCTGAAAGCAATGAATCTAACACAAGAGATGTAACTGTTTTCTAATTGAAATATATTGCTTCCAAGGATAGACTAAGTACAGCTTTAATTATATTACATTACATCAAATCATTTTAAGATTTCTTTAAAAAGTATTTTTCTATGTATCTCTTAAATTATAGGAAACAATTTCATAACTTAGCTTTTTATTCATTTAAAAATACAATTTGATGGCTTACGTACCTTCATGAGCACCACCCTGCAGCCCTTTCAATCCTTGTTGATCATAAACTACCCTCTTGTTAGGGTCCGAGAGAACTTCGTAAGCATACGAAATTTCTTTAAACTGAAAACGAATCAAAATTTACTTTAAAAATGTTTTATACTTTGTTCATTAGATATATTTTATTATTAAATATACACTAACACCATTAAAATATTACTTATTTCACAAAAATCTGGCCAATTTTTTAAAGCCCTAACTGAATTAGTTTCTTTCAAAAAAAAAAAAGCCTTATTCATTTTCTTCCTGCCCATATACTGTAACTGGAAGTATCCATATTTAAATTGTGTGCACACACACCACAAACTAAATAAGGAACTTCACAGGTGCAGTATACAGTGAGAAGTTCAAACTACAATAAAGATCAGTGACACATATCTAACAAGAGAGATTTTCTGTATCTCTCACAAGTATATGATTTTGTTTTATGAGACTGATATCCCTTCGAACTTCTTGTTCACTACCAATCTTGCATCTGCATGACTTTAGCCTTACGGCTGGAATGCACAGACAGCGTTTATTGTGTTAAATTAAGCATGAATTTCTGACCAATAAATGCAGATAGATACTTATCACAAAGAAGCCAGAGAACCAAAGTAGTTTGCATATTTCAGTAGAATTATCTTTGAGATTTCTCTGCATTGAAACTACGTGTTTGGTCTCATTTATAACCACATATTGTCACATTGAGCTAAATTAACTATGCATGAAAGACATCCATATGTTCCGACCCTTACAGCAGGACATTCAGAATATTTATCAGAGTAGAACATATAACAGTCTGCAATAATAGAAAGAACACACAACTAATTCATGTTCTGCATAGACTTGATTCTCAATAAATAATTTTAAATATATTGCCAGTGAAAGTTGACAGTTTCACTAGCAATATATTTGATCATAGCTACTGCCACATTTTAATTAAAAATCTTTCTTGATACAATATTAAATATTTGCACCAGAAATTCATTATGGTGACATTCATAAAAAATATGAGAAAGACTGAATATTGCCAAGTGTTCGTGTATTTACACTATATAGTGTTCAAAAGACAAAAAGACTACATTATTTTATGCCTTAATCTTGTCACATACTTTTCTAATATTCAAATTATACCCTCAACTATTCCTAAAAATTTCATCAACAACACATTAACAAAATTTTAACTGAATTTAGCAAATTGCATCTCCCTAACATTTGACTTCAGTGCCTCATCATTACAATTACTTGTAATGATCATTAAAGATTTCACAAAGATAAAGTTCTCTTAGTTCATCTGTTTTTACATCATAGGAAGGAGTGGAATTTTTATTCAGAAGCACTCTCCCACTCAACTTGCTAAAATCCTTTTAAAATGTGGTGTGAAAATGGACAAATTACAAAAAAAAAAAAATGTGTGTTTTCTTTATTGAAATCTTTAATAAATTCACCCTCCAGGTTACTTTTTAACCATTGTAAAAATTGTTATAAACTTTGACATTGTTGTAAACTTTACATTCATTTTATCACATTTTTCCTTACTCCTAACAATCTCAAATCAACTCTTACATTTCCTCTTAAATAAACAAATACTAACCTCTCTATGCATAAGTGAAAGTAAATGAACTATATACATCTGTCATTACATCAAAGTGCTGAATGCAATTTTAAATATGAAAATAAACCTTATTACATTTAACAAATGTTTATTTGGTATATCTGTGAACTAATTTTTTGATGTATCTGCAAACAAGATTATTTTTTGTATCAAATGCTTTAACTTTCTTCTAAATAACCATGTAAATCAAGTAAAAATATTGTAATAAGTGTATTTATAATTTACAATCCAAGATAAAAAAAAAGCAAGCACAGTTACTTTGCATTTTTGTCTTAATTGTCATTTTACTCTCATGTTTCTAATAATTTGGCTGAAAATTTTATATAAAAAGGCAAATTTATACCTTTAATAAATTCAAATAAAAATAACAATACAAACAAATAAAAGCAGCAAATAGCTAATTCATACTAAGTTTTTAAATGACTACTTATTCAAATGAAGTTATTATAAAATTCAAGTTTTGAGTGAATCAACATTTGAGCTTTTATTACATGATTTTTATGTTTAAATATAACCATAAAATTGTCACAACAGTTATTACAGTGTTTCATTTCCATGATATTTTACAATGATATGCAAAAGACTGATACATTATACCCTTATTTATGCAGGATAATCAAGTTATTCAAAACTTGATTGCCATTCATGGATGAAAGGTGTAATCTGTCAAGCTTCGAAAGCTAGATACATATTTCACTTGAAGCACATTTGAAGATGCATGCTTTAAAAGTGTACATCTTCAAATGAGAACTGTGACATTTATGACACTTTTTTTAATCAAGAATTATCTTTTAATAAATATTTGTTTCATTGCTCTCTACTGTGGAATATAAGCACAGAGAAGTAAAATCATCTTCCACTTCTTCCATTGTGTAATGAGTAATGTCGTAGATATTGCATAATAAGCCATTTTAACATTTTCTTCTTTGTACTTTCTCACAAACTGTCAGTCAGTCTTCACATTAGCAGGGGTGCACAACCTGCGGCCCGCTGGCCTCATACGGCCCCTTATCAATGTTTATGCGCCCGCGGACGGTACAGACCAAATCCCTTCTTTCCAAGTTTCTAAGTGTAGAACTTTTCCCTTTCACAAAGTCATTAGCACCCAACTGTTTTATAACTTTCCCTGAAGTGAGAAATGGGGGGTTGTTCTATAAATAAGTCTATTTCTAGCTAACACTTTCTGGTTTAGATATCGAATATTTTAAGTCTAATACATAGTATTATAACGATTTTTTGAAGAATCAAATAGAATAAAATGATGTTAGAACGTCATTTCCGATGTTATCAGGAAGTTTCTATTTTGGCGGGAAATCTTCAATTTTATGCTTCGGAAAACTTGCTTATTCGTCTAAATAGCGTCAAATAACAAAAATAAGTGAAAATAGTGCTGAAAAACCATGAAAATAATGATTTTTTAGCATTTGTTTACATTCTAGATTCTGATTGGTATAGTCGAATTTGAATCAATCTTTTCTAAAAAGACGCTTATTCGTCAATCTAATGTCATTCAAACTAGAAAAAACTAACCAGAGTTCAAAAAGAAATGTACAAAAAACTATAACAACTGATAATTTACAACAATATCTCTCCATAGACTAACAATAGAAAAAAATTTTTTCGCATCAAATTTATTATTATTAAGTTGGACCAAGAAAATTAATACTGTAATTGGAATAGAGTCATTATGACTGAAAGGAAGCCGTTTGCACTAAAATATTTTGGATTTAATAATTATTACAAACCGCGTTAAGCCATAAACTTGTCAACAAAGAGGGTTGTAAAATGATTCCGTGAAAGAAAACAGATATATTTAGGTTATTTAAGTAGTAAATTAATTGGAACTTTTTATTTACTTTTATTTTTACATTCTTTTTTTCGTAAATTTAAAATTAAATTATTATTTTTAATTTTTATTTTATTTGAAATTTAACAGTCGTAAACTGTGATATATTTGTGACAGAAAAAAAAAAAAAACAGATTGATTCTAGCGCCAATTTGAAACGAGATATCGCAATTTTAATAATTATATTTAAAATATTCAGATTTTCCACTGCACTGTGTTAATCACTTTTGATTCATTTCTGAACACGGGGGTAAAACTGACGGGCCATAAATATAATTTAGGTAAGAATGGTAACCACATTTATGATGGATTAGTGTCCTGCACCTGGCATGTTGACGATCTGACTCACAAATTCTGAGAAATGGTGGAGACGCCCGGACAGGGGTCGAACGAATTAAGACCTGCCTGGCCACGTGTGCGTAATAGTCTTCTGTCCCCGCCTCTTTAGTCTTTGGTCAGAGTGGATACAGAACAAAGCACGTGGTAGTCTAGCTTGCCTTATCTCAAACATGATTTGTTGCGGGCCTCAGAATTTTCGGCACAATGAGACATTGTTTTGCAGAGTGAACAGTATGGCGCCGGGCATTAAACGCAAGGTCAATCGCGAGAATCATCAGTTTCAAGAAGTGGAAGTGTGGACTAACAAGTACTGTTTTGTGCAACAGAACAACAGCATTATTTGCCTTTTGTGCAATGGAACAATAGCAGTGCCAAAAGAATTCAACCTGAAGCGACATCATGAAAGCCAACACAAGGATTTCCTTCTGCAAGGTACGGAACGCAAACGGAAAATCGAATCGTTACGACGATCACTAATCAGCCAACAAAATGTGTTCAAGAAACAATCTGGAGAATTGGATGCGGCTGTTGAAGCCAGCCTAGAAATATCTGCTTTAATAGCCAAGAATGGGAAACCTTTCACAGATGGCGATATGATAAAAAAGTGTCTTATCATCGCAAGTGAGAAGATGTGTCCTGAGAAGACAAAGTGTTTTCAAACAATCAGTCTTAACCGCATGACGATACAACGGAGAATCTCGCAAATTGCATCAGACATTTCTGGCCAACTTAATATTTTAGTTGCAAACTGTGCTTATTTTTCTTTGGCTGTGGACGAATCCACTGACATATCATCAACAGCACAAGTGATTGTGTTTATTAGAAGTGTTTCACTAGATTTTATTGTGAATGAAGAATTTCTTGGCATGGCATCACTTTCCGGACATACAACTGGTGCTGACTTACTTACTGGTTTATTGAGCGTTTGCAACAAATCAGCACTGGACTTTGACAAGCTATCCAGCATTGCCACTGATGGAGCACCATCTATGGTTGGATGTGAGAATGGCATGGTCACCTTGCTGAAAAACCACCTTGGGGACAGGCAAAAGGAGTTAGTCCAGTATCATTGCATAATTCACCAACAGCAACTTTGTGCAAAGAAGCTGGGATTTGAACGTCTGCTGAAAGATGTCTATGATACTGTGAACTTAATCCGCCGTCATGGACTCAACCATCGACTCTTCACATCATTTCTTGAAGAAATAGATGCTGATTATGCTGACCTGCCCACGTATACTGAAGTTCGTTGGCTGAGCAAGGCAACAGTCCTCAAGAGATTTGTGGAGCTATTGGGGCCTATTATCACTTTCCTCAAAGAACGGGGGAACACTACAAGGAATTTGGAGGGACAAAGATGGCAGTGTGATTTAGCTTTCCTTGCTGACATTACTGCTTATCTAAACGACCTTAATTTGAGATTGCAGGGAAAGATGCAACTTGTTTCTCAGTTGACAAGTAACATCAATGCATTTATGACCAAACTATCACTTTTCAAGTCCCACATGCAATCAGAGAACTTTACACACTTTCCACATTGCAAGGCCATGAAAGAGAAATACCCACATATGAAGATGGATTACTCTGACCAAGTTAACACCCTCCTTACATCATTCAATGAGAGGTTTGGTGAATTCCAGAAATACAAGATCTACCTGCAACTTTTTTCAACTCCATTTGATGTGAAAGTGGAAGATGCCCCTCCAGATGTCCAACTTGAGTTGATAGACATCCAGTGCAGTGATGAATTGAAATCACAGTTCAAAAATTCTAATCTCCTCACATTCTACAAAGAACTGCCAGATACATCATTTCCAAAACTGAAAGACAATGCTCAATTTTGTGCAAGCATGTTTGGCAGTACCTATGTATGCGAACAAGCGTTTTCGCTTATGAATTTAAACAAGTGCAAAACACGGAACAGGTTAACCAACGAGAATTTGCAAAATTGCTGGTTGTTTCAACATCTGCCATTACACCAGACATCAAGAAGATTGCTGCCAGCATCCAATCTCAGCTATTTCATTAATCTCTTGGAGGTCCGGCCCCCAGTCAGTAAACTTAATCCTAATTTAGCCCTTCTTCACAAAAGGTTGTGCATCCCTGACATTAACATTATTGTTAAACAGCAGATTATTTTAAAGTAACTTTTCCTGTTATGTGGGAAAGCTAATTTAAAATGTCAAATTGCTTCTACCATATTTAATTCATTGATTAAATTAGGGTTACATTATAAAGTTTTTGTTGTTTACACTTCTAAGTACTTGTCTTTTTTGTGATAATTTGAAAGTAAAAAATTTATTTCAATTTACCTTCTCTCCCTGTTCTGGATTCTTATCCGGGTGATATTCTTTAGCCAATTTACGATAGGCCTGAAAATAAAAATAGCTTTAACATTAGTTTTGAAAACCGATAATAATTTTAAGTTTTTGTACAATTTTATTAGTTCATTTGACAGATATTGGACTAAGTGGTTGTCTTGATCAAGAAACAACTAAGAAGCTTTGAATATGATCTAAAGATGTTGAAAATAGTTTTAATTAATAGTTAAATGCATAATAAATAATAATTATACATGTCTATGCTTTTGTGGTAGTTTACATATGTAATATTCTGATTTTATATACCAGATAATGAATATTTGAGCTACTACACAATACTTTGTTGGATTTTCTGACAGGTAGCAGACAAGCACATTGTCTATTTGGAGAGATGTATCTTAAATTTTTGTATTTATTCCTACATACATACATGAAAATAAAGCTATACAAGTAAAAATGTATTTTAAACAAAGTGAACATGACTTAAGAAAGTTAACTTCACACCAAATAATGACCTAATGTAACATTACATCGTAACATTTCAAGTGAATATCTGGAAAAAAACTGGAAATATTATCCTTATCATTATGTATGTAAGGACTTAAACATTAATTAATTCAAATATAAATGTTTAGGCACAAAACAGAACTAGCTTATTACATTTACATACAAGGTGACTAGTACCTAGGGAATTTGATCCCGGTCCTTATTTCTAATCCCGGGATTTCGGGATTATACTTATTCAATCCCGGGATCCCGGGATTATTTCAGTATTGAGGGTTAATAAAAAATAAGAAAATCTTACAGAAATCAAAAGTCAAAATTTAGACAAAAATCAACGTATTTTACGGTATACACCTAGTTAATTTAATCACTCTAACTAATCAAACTTACAGTCAGACTAACCAGACTTAAAATCACTGTTTCATGTTAAATTTATTCTTTTTTGAGCATCACTGAGATTGTTTTAAACTCACATAAATTGAAAAAACCTTTATGTAACAAACTATGCAAATAAATCTTGAAAATTAACAAAAATCTCTCTTAACATCGACTAAATATACTACTTTCATATAACAACCTAGTAAGTAGGTAGTAAAGTAAGTTTCTTAGCAAAAAGTATTTAAAAATAATATTAATCAGTCACATTTTTCTTAAATATAAAGAAAACTAATCTAATAGGAACATTCTAATTTGAATTGCGAAAATATGATCTGAGAAATAACAACGCATCCAGTGTCTCATCACCAAGTCTGCTTCTCAATTTGTTGCACATATATGCAGCTGCTGAGAAAACGCGTTTAGGTTTGATGGAAGTTGGAGGAATCGTTAGTAAATACTTATAAGCTTCGAGGACACGGGGAGGATGGAAGAAAACAGTCCGGTCGACACGGATCGGGATTGTAGGAGTAAAGGCTACAATCCCGATTGTTTCGATCATTGTAAGCATGTCTTTCTAAAAATAAACGCGTTAATTTTGTAAATTCGGTCTCTGTGTGAGTCTCTCAGCGTCCAGCAAACCACTACCCCGAAACGTAAAAAGACTTTCTCGCATCATCCTGACAGATCGCGGGCAAGGCGAGGGTCGTAACCTTTTCACCTAAGGTCGACCCCCCTAAGCGAGAGGCGTCGGGTCTATATTAACTACACTGGCAAAACAAGATGGCTGACACATTGACAGGTAAAACGCACTGAGTAGTGCTCTCGACTGCGCCAGAAAATCGATTGGCGCCCGCGAAAATTCAAAAATACAAAAATGAAGTATATTACCAAGTAACCCAGTGAGAACTGCTTGCCTATCATTTTAGTTGAAAATACAAGAAGTTTTATTCCAAGCAAGCATCGCAAGCCCGCTAGGTTAATTTCTGCTGCTTGCTTGGAATAAAATTTCTTGTATTTTATATTAAAATGATAGGCAAGCAATTCTGTTAAAAGCACTGGCACTGAACGTTTCGCTTCATGCAGTCTATTTTGCAACTTTTTTAAAATGATGTCAATCCCGAAAATCTCGGGATTAGGAAAACTTAATCCCGAAAATTTTGGGACTGAAAAGTGGTCGGGATCCCGATTTTCGAGATCCCGGGATCAAATCCTCTACTAGTACCCCTTAACCACTGATTTGAGTGAGTTATAGACAATAAATGACACACAGTAATGAACCCAACACAGACATGGGAAAATGAGAAAGACATTTTACTGTCAGTGCTTAACATGCACATTAGCATTTGACACTTTATTTGCACTATCCATGTATGTAAATGTCCTTTTGTATTAAATAAGTCATGCTTTACAACTTTATATTTGATTTTTCTTCTATATCATATGCAGCTTTAGAGACAGGAGCACTAGCATTTGAATTTTACCACTGGGGCTGTGAGCATTCTTGTATTTAGTTCTCTTCACTGTAACTTCACATCATGTTTGTAAATCTGGCTATCTGTATTCATCAGATTACATGTATATGTAAGGACTATACTATGCACCTATGATTCAATTTTTGTACATTCTGGGAACAAATCACAATAGAATCTGTATTAATATCAGACTTACAACATTTAATTGAAGTAAGTAAATAACATTAACAAAAATTCTTTCAGTTAGTAACATTGGACAAATATGTTAAAATAATTGAAAATGCTACTTAAATTTATTTACAATGAACATTATTCTTGCTTAATAGTAATTCAAACAGTTTATAATTAAAGAAACAATTACAAACAATTTATAATATACTGCCAACAAAATGATGATTAAAAAGATTAACGTTTAACCAGTTAGGAATATTTTATTATGTAGATCTTTTACACAGCCAACAATCATACTTCTTTAGACAAAATAAGGCTGGATCCACACACCAGAATTTCCAGATTTGGTTCCAACATTCCAAAATGCCAACTGGTTTGACAGAAAAAAGGATAAAATGATTCATGCATTCCTGCAGTGAAAGAAATCCAACACTTTGCATAATCAATAACAAAATGTATACTCTATAAATGAATAAGCACCAATCATGCTCAAGTTAACAATATTTTAAGAAAAACAGTAGTTTATTGGTTTTTTTTTCTATATATCAACATATGCTAATGAATATAGAATGAAGTGTATTATTAGAGAACAACTACTAATCATTAATTACACTTGTATATGACATTTATATAATCAAAACACTTGTCTATCGTAACATACCTTCTGCCTTTAGTATTTATTATTTTAATGACTTATTCAAGTAATACAGTTTTGTCTAGTTTAATTAGTACATCACATTTCAACATGAAAGTATATTATAGAAATTAAAAACTGAAAAATAAAAACAATGAAAATGGTTTAAATGCTTTATCAGTTATGATCCAATTCTCTTTCAAAATGAACAAGACCTGATTTGTGTATCTTCATTATATATCTGGATTGAAATTGTGTGTTGCCTGGCCTGTATAAACCAACAGATACAATAATGTCTTAAAATTATATTACACAAGGTTCATATAATTTCATTTCCTAAAAGTATTAACTATTAAAAAAACTGCAAGATGTCAAATTGTCCAAGACAAGTTATGAACACTGGAAAATTTTACTGATTTTGGCACTACAATCAAATTTTCCTCACAAAGTATGGTGTTGGAAGTTGCAAGATGAGAACAGAAAGTTTGTACTACATTCATATTAATTTGTATTAGCTAGAATCTACCAGAAGCAGAAAATTAAGTAATGAATTGGTGATGGCGAGGAAATAATTAATGTAAATAATATAACAGATGCTTTTGTAAATTGCTTCAGACATTACAGAATTTAAGTGAAACAACATTCTGATAAAAACCACAAGTGCCTAATATAGAAGCAAAGTATGTTAAAAATTAGTAAATTTTGATAAATTTACTCAAATAATCTGCCATTTTTTCAAATTATGACAGAGCCTAGTTAATATCATTGCAAAAGACTTTCTATTATCTACACCAGTGTTTTTCAACCTGTGGGTCGCAACCCCCCTGGGGGTCGCGAAGCCTTACATGGGGGGTCGCGGGTAAAAGAGAAAGACAAATGTTTGTAGGTCCTACACTTCATTAAAGAAAGTTTCATACTTTATGCAGGTGTGTTAAGTTATTGTCGATTCTTCCGAAATTTTCATTTTAATCAACAATAATTTGTCTTAACAGAAAGAAAATTAAATACATAGTTTTTAAAATCACTGATATAGTCTTAATATGGCCCTATGGGGGGTCGGCAGAATTTTTTAACTTGTAAAGGGGTCGCGTATTCAAGAAGGTTGAAAAACACTGATCTACACAATACAAAACTTTTCAGTGCTTAAAAGGTAGAAACATGCTCTATTTAATTTTGTTTAATTTCAGCAGAAACTTCAAAAAATATTGTCATGTTTTCTGCCTCCAACTAAATTTATGCAGTATTTTATGGATGTCCTTTTGTAGACTAACAAGTAAGTCTATTTCAGTTTTAAGACCTCATGGAAGATTGCTCTACATTCCTGTCGTAATGACATGCTTTAAAAAGAATTTATTATTGAAAAAGTTAAACAATTTTGACTAATACAAAGAGTTTGAATTTACACAGATAAACTGCCAAGAACTACTAAAAGTTTAAATTTTCAGTGGAAAAAAAACCAAAGTTTCATTTCAAATGTGTTCTTAGGCATGCTCTCTGTTTTTGGTTGAAAATATACATACAAATGTATATTTTGTGCACCCTTTTCCCTTTGATGACATTTCAATAAATACAGCAAATATTTTGTCAACAATAGAAAAAGCATGTTCACACTTTCTAGCAGCAGCAATCTTCTTGTTCTAGTTCTAACCTGCCTAAGACAAAAAAAAAAAACTGATACAGGTGCTCTTATGAACAATTTGACTGTGTATATCTAAAATTTAGATTTCGTGTGGATTGTGAAGTTCTCTTGCCATTCCTGGTATGTTGTTGAAGTGGTCTTTGGCAAGTAATAAATATTTAATGTGGGCTTATTTCTATTGTGTATCATCATTTTTTGTTTTTGCACAAATTCTTGAAGATCCACTGTCACTTGTGAAGTGGTATCAAAGTTT